ATTGTACTCCTTTCCACCTATATAGGCTTTGACGTTCTTCTCCAGCATCATTATTGCAATACCCTCATCCTCCCTCACCGCTGCTATGTTCAATGCGGTGCCATACGCTTCGAATCTAGCATTCATATATCGACCCCCCCTCAATAGCCGCTGAACTACCACCCCATGCCCCAGCCACGTTGCTATCATCAAATGTGTGAAGTCTGCGGGGCATTTACCCCACCGTCCAGAGGTGACCCAGTACACCTGAAACCATGTCAAAAATCGGTTAGATCCGGGTCTGCAAATTAGTTGTGTAAACTCAAACAGTCTCATTTGTTGATCCCCCGAGTCTCTAAAGTGGTCGGCCAGTTTCTGGCTGCGTAATCGAGAAAGTCATAATTTTTCACATACTCATCAACTGCCCCCCTTGCACGGGGGCCGTAAGTATCCACCACTAATGGGTCGTTTTCAAAGTCCGAAAGTGAAAGATAGATGATACAAATGTCAGCCAGCGTAAAGTTTGAATCCTGGGGGCAGATAGTATGCTGCCAGCTACCCACACCCGGCAAAGACCCCTGAAGCAGGAACTCCCTCGCTGTCTGGTGAACAAGGTAGATTTTCGAATCAATAACCCTCACAAAATGTCCGCACAAGTTTTTAACCGTCCTCCCGAATCCAGCCACATCCCCGATGCCCTTGCTAGACTTATGTTCCCGCCTGATTCGGAATGCGACGTTCATTTCTCGAAGCGTAAGAGGCCTTGCCGCCGCTACCACTATATGGAGGATTCGTCGGGCTTTGTCGGGGTCGGCGCTTTTATCGAGAATCTTGGTGTATAGTTCTGCTATATCGGGTGGTGCGGTGGAGACAATATTTGTAAATACTTCCGGTGCGCAATCCTCACTATTCTTCAAAATTTCCAGAACAAGAGAAACCCAAAGGAATGTCCGATCGGCAGAAGATACGAGGAGATTTCGCAAATAACCCAGCCCCCCAGGCTGTTCCCATTATGACTCGAGGTCCTCAATGCCCTTATCTATGACACGAATAACATCAGCAGAAATGGCGGGGACCTCTTCCTCCCCTTTTAGCCGGATGGTGGTTGCGGATGAGCCAAGCTGCCTCTCGATATTGTGGTAGGGGCGACTCGTAACTATGAACTTTAAATAAATCTCAGAAGTCTGTGGCCCAAGAAGGCGGGTGAGATGGCGGATAAGCCGCGCTCGACTCCCTTCCTGACACTCGTCCAATGCGTCCACCACACAAATTACATTGCCACACACCCCGTCAGCTGCCGCCCTAACCAAAATATCCCACAATGTATCGACCTCCTCAGTAAACCCCTTTCCTTTACCCTTAAACGCCCCCTCCGCGTATCGGTAGAGGTCGTTGTTCCGCATAAAAAGTTGATGAAGTATAGCGCAAAGGGCAAATTCTGCGCGTCTTTGTTCATCGCTATCATCTTGGAAGAAGAAATAGCAAACGATGGCGTCTGTTTGGCTTTGCAGATGGTTTGTGAGGAATGAAGCGGTGACAGATTTCCCGCAACCAGGGTCCCCCGACAGCCAGAGGAGGCCAGAATTTCCTTTTCCCACCAGTCCTTATACTTTGGATGTTCCGTAACCCAGGTGCATGTTCCCTCCACTGGATCACTAACCCGGCCTCTGTGCTCCTCGTATTTGGAAGTCTATAGGCATTGCAGAATTTTGGTGTTATCCTTGGACGAGCCGGTGTGCCCACCATCGTAATTAATGGTGACTGTGTTGCCGGAGTTGATTATATTACTCGATCTAGAGTTGCCGCTACCGTCACCAAGGATATTACTGTTGGCCATCGTGCGAGAACCGTGACTACTAACATTAAGGATATGAAATGTCAATATATGAGAATTCAAGACCATACTGTTCGCTTGAGGAGAGGTCCTCAGACCCCGTGTTTGATTGTTGATTGCTCATGTTATCGACGAATGCTTGAGTCTAAAGAGGCTGTTTCTGCCGCGTAGGAATTGAATGTGTTCTTTGGGATTCGTAAAGAGGATATTCAACTAGGTCTGGGAGAATGAAAGCAAGAGCAGAGATGAAGAGTCAAGATTATCCTATCCTTGGGGAGCGCAAAAGTGTGGATGATGGTGAATGCCAGGGGCGGAGCTACCCCGCACCAACTCAACCATTCGTGTCGCACAAGAGCTTCCCTCGCCACTACTTGGCCGATAGTACTGTACTACTCATAGAGCACATACACCGCCACCATGTAGGGAACAATAAACATCGCCAACCTTGATACTCTAGCAAAACCTTTCGGCCACAAGACCCAAAGTCTCTATTACACACTCCTCGGCTTTCCTACCACTACCAATAAAATTATATCGCCCCATGGAGCCCTTAATATACCCGAGTATTTCCAACTTGGTTCAATCTCCTTCTCCCCATGCGAATTTGGCGGTCGGAAAGGAAAGAAAGCTATTTTTTCGCAAGCACCATTGCCATTTGCGTGATTATAACTCTCACTCGATAGCAGTATCCTGCGCGACCGGCAGTGTTTCAAACAACTCGAACACTATTCCTTATAGGTCAGCCAGTGCCGTTCGAAAAGAGGAGCCAATTCTTGGCTGGGATACACGAGTATAGTACCGTACCGGTATCACACGGTTCTGGAACGATACCGGTATTTTGACAAGATATTCTACTGGTACTTGTATCATGGGGGTCCAATGTGGTGTAGCGCCAAGACGAGGTGGCAGGCTAGTGTGATAATAACTACCGCCTAGGGCCACACCACCTTTTCCGGGGGTGGGACTCTGTGAAGGAACCAATGTCCAAGCGAAACGAAATGGACAGAGAGAGAGAGTACAGTACACCCCTGGTTTCGAAATGATCCTTCAGGCCAACCTCCGCCAAAACAGAGCCCAGCTCAGCTGTGTATGAGAGGGACTTGTGGCGCTAACACAACTGCCACGATGACATGAGTCACATGACCAATTTGAAATATTCAAACAGTGGGACCTCCTGTTTAAAGTTCACTTCGACCCAGGCTATCAACGGTAACGCCCCCCCCGGCGTCCGGACCAAATTCGCAAAACGATGAACAATCCGCGCGGTAGTTCCAAAAAGCCATAATGCAAGCACCTCTCTTGGTAGCGAAGGGGAATGGAATTTGACAAACGGAATACACCCCCAAAACTGGCCAACTTTGGCGTGCCGAGTTGGGAAGTAATCAATACCGTGGTCCGACCCGGTCAATTCCGAACCTGTAGCACAGTCAAATCCGGCACGGGCATCCTGAGGCCCGAAGGGATGGGGGGGAGATTGGGCTTTATCAGATCCTTGCTCCCTTCCGATCGACTCCCTGCCGGCCTTGGAACTTCTACCCCGGTGCGCCGCTGATCGGTACGATAGTCTGCTACCTCGAGGCTCCACAAGTCTCTTCTGATACTAGTCGGCTATGGTTTAATTGTATGTATCGTCCCTTTTACCCCTCTTTCTCTCCTTCCTTCCTTCCTCCGATCCCGCCCGGGCCATCAGAGATACCGCGTCATCATACCAGCGGCCGGGCAGGAAGTGAGGGCTCAGAAAGGAAGAAAGGAAGTGCAAGCGATATCTCTCAGAATCATTAGTCTCCATCATCCTCTTCATCTCAGTATCGTACACATCCGAAGACTCCCCGCAATGCACCAATACTGATACTTGAAGAACCCGATCTAGAGAAACGTCACGCCTACCAAAAAAAAAACCCCGTTTTATCCCCAATCGCGAAGCGATCTATTATCCTCAAGCCAGAGGCAGACAGAGAAATTATTCAGTTTCAAGCGACCAGACCAATGAGAAATATTCAGATCCCGAACCTGATATTAAGACACCCAACCAACGGGTATCGCCACAGCGGGCGATGTGAAAACAAGGGGATTCACGAGACAACTGTACTCGAGTAGGATATCAGAAGAACAGAACACCCAACATCTATCCGACAGAAAAGGGAAAGAAGAAGAAAAGGATAATAGTGGTCACAAACCCCAGTAATAAACACACCGCTCTGCGACCATAGTCTACACCAAACTTACCCAAACCCCTCCGCCTCCTCACAAGCAAAACCGCTCTTTCCCGTTATGGTAAGTACGGCTACCGTATTATATACCGTGAGTAGCAGAAGAATGGGAATAAAATCTACTCCCAAAACCCTCCCCCTACAAAAAGTCACAAGCCCGGAACAATCAAACCGGCAATCATGAAATATAATAATCAAAACCTCGAGCCAAAAAAAACAAAAACCCCTCCAACCTCCGCGATTTCTCTCGGAACTCCCCAAAGCCCTCGGACCATCCAGAAAGTATCATAAATCGAGCAAGCCCCTCGCGGGGAAAAACTCCACGACATATGAAAATCTCCGATAGAGGCAGTAAGCCACATACCCCGTCTATATCCGTCCGTAGCTTTCTTTTCTTCTCCCTTTTCACCAATCACATTAGAGTCTACATTGATGCTTCCCACGCATGCGCAGCACTCACTGGACTACTGACCACCTATCATATCATACCGGCCCAAACCTTCATACCGAAACATCGGCCGACACTTTCCGGGAGCCGAGGGGCAATGGATAAATAACCGTACCTCTAGTACCAAACCGAGCCAAAACTGTAGGGTAACGGCGTGTAAATACCCCCCCCCCCGTTGGAAGTGCAAAAAATTGAAAGAGTATCATACACCAAGACCTTTTTCACGTGCACTGTATGTATATGGAAAGGTTTTTCCTTCTTTCTCTCTTTTCCTGTCGAAAGGTTACATCTGCTCGAGGAAGAAAGGAGTAGTCCAGGAGGAGAGAGCAAACTATTGTATTGGGTATCGTGGTGGCTGTGGTGATGGTATGATAAGAAGGGCGGGAGATCAATGATAAGGGGTGCGGGTTTAGCTACGATTAGGGTTATCCGGTGCGGAAATGCCAAGGAAGGGCTAAAAAAAGGGGGGGAGTCAAATGAAGGGACGCGTTTGGCAGTGAGGTGCTAATTAGAAAGGGAGTAAATAAACTTAAGTGATTTCTGCTTTTCTGTCGTAGCAATATATATCATATATGCAAATTCAACTCACTCTAAGAAGAAAAAGGAAAGGAAAGAAATAAAGAAACCTCTCCGGCAGAGCGAGCAAGCTATAACTTCGACTTGACAGCAAACGCCGGCACAACCAACCTGTCGTAAACATCAGACGACAGAAAATCTGCCGGTGTTGGCACGCTGTGCATGCTGAGCCCCCTAACATCCACAAATTCAGGCCCCAGCTCACCCACACTCCTAGCGCCAATAAGTCTCATTGCCACCTCGAACTCGTCCTTAAGCAACTGCATCGCATGGACCACGCCCGGTTCACCGTATGCACTCATAGCGTACAGGAACGGTCTGCCGATGCCGACGCCCTTCGCGCCGAGGCAGAGCGCCTTGATGATGTCAGTCGCGCGCCGGACGCCACCGTCAACGTAAACCTCTATTTTATCCTGGAGCCCGCGGCGGCGGAGTTCGGGCATGACATCCGCCAGGATTTCAATCGCGCTGGGGGCTGTGTCGAGTTGACGGCCACCGTGGTTGGAGAGGACGACGGCTGGGATGCCGTGTTCTATGGCTGTTAGCACGTCTTCGACGCGCTGCACACCCTTGAGGACGATGGGCATTTTTGTGATGGATTTGAAGTAGGGGATGTCTTTCCAGGAGAGGCTGGGGTCTATGAATGTGGAGATTGCGCGCGCAGCGCCTTGCGAGCGGTCGATGGCGCCTGGGTTGTTCTTTTGGACGTCGGAGGCAGCACCTTCGAACCTGGTGCGGATGTCTGCAGAGTTCAGAATTAGGCGAAGTAATTAACATGTGAAGGAGAGGTGAGGTACCTTTTTCCCTACGGCCAAGCTGCGGAGCATCAACCGTAACGAATAACCCTTTGCATCCCCTTTTCTCCGCATGCTGCACAATCCTCTTTGTAATCTCGCGATCCTGATTGACATAGAGCTGCAGCCATTGAACCTGATCCCCCCTCTTCGCATCCACAATCTCGTCAAAGCTGCAGGAACCCAAGGTAGGTATCATCTGAATAACACCATGCCTGCTAGCAGCCCTAGTAAGCACCACCTCCCCCTCCAGATGCCCCAACTTCCCCAGCGCGGTGGCAGTGACGTAGAATGGTACCTCGCACTTGCTCCCGAGCATGCTAGTACTCGAGTCCACCTGCTCCACGTCCACGAGAATTCGCGGGCGGAACCAGATCTTGTGGTAGGCGGAGTGATTCTCTCGCAGGGTGATCTCGTCATCGGCTCCGGAGGAGTAGTAGGCCCAGGCACCCCTCCTCATGACTTGCCTGGCAACGGACTCGAAGTCGTGCAGGTTGAAACATTTCCCCAGCGGCGGCATCAAAGCGATACGCTGTTGTCGAGATTCCTCGTCCGGGTCAAAGGATTTCTCCTCCGCTATTACCGTAGACATGTCCACCCCGCCGAGGTGCTTGGACCGGTCGAGGTACTAGCATACCCGACCTAACATTAGCGTGTGAAAGGAAAAATGGGAAAAGTCGACATAAGCGATTGAGATGGGGGGAGGGGATACCTTATCGAGCGTATCCGGGGGGTGAATGGGCTCGAATGCCTCGGTGGCATCCTTACCAGCGTGCTTCAAAATCACGCCCGCGCCGCCGGGGTGTTCGGGTAGGAACTCGGTCACGTCATAGGCCTTCCCATGAATAATGACCCAACAAGACTCTTTGTTGTCATGCTCCGCGACGTCCTTTCCCGTGAGCCTTGTCTGCTGCATCTAGTCGGTCTATCCGTCTATAATCTCACTATATACGTTTTGTCGTGGATATAGTTCGGCCAATGGGTCGGGTGTGAAGCAGAGGGAGGGGAGAGGGGTAGAAGAAGCGGGAGAAGGTTTATAAACCGTTACCCACTTTATGAAGGATAGCCTCACCAAACACTTCAATACCAAATTGTAGCCGAGGCTGTTCCGGAGCTCCTGATGCGAGGACCTTGGGGCGCCAGGATATCATAGATCCGGAGGCAATACCGGTACAAGTGCTTCACCCTCGTCGATCCGTGCAGCGGGCCCTACCAAAACTAAGTTTAGCCAGAACGGCCGGTCAGGGTAACCTAAATTATAACCGATTTCTTACAGGTACACAAAGATCCATAACTTACAGTAACCTGTAACCCAGACTGCCGGTAATGCAAAACCTACTCGTACCCGACGGAGCAGCTATGATACCAAACCACGTGCGTCATTCTGCCGAACACCAGGGAACAATCCATCCCGCCACCCGTGTTCTCAGCAACGCCCAACCAAAAAAAAAAAAATAGCATCATAGACGGCTGATGACCTTCACCATTATAGGCTCCGGCATCATGTGATGCGGACACCTTGCAATCCTTCCCGCTTGGTGGATCCCGTGACCAGACAAGGCCCCATCGGAGCAATCGAATCGAACACCTGCCCTAAATTGCCACCCGTTCGTTCATCCACTCACTCACCCACCTTACGAGTACTCTAACTCTCCCAGTAAATTAAGGTGACTACTATACTACAGTAGTATTACCAGTACCGGTACTGTACACTCCCGATCAGCAATCTCTACTTCAGGAGCGAAAGCGAAGAGAACCACTCATCCCATCATCTCATCTCATCCCATCTTATTCGCCCAGTTTCCATCCCATCCTCCATATTCTCGTTCCTATTTTTTCTCTTCTTCCCTTTTTTCCTTTGTGAGTTTTTTCTTTCTTTTTGGATTACGGTAAGTTGACTCGACTACGGTAGACTACTGTGCAGTGTACGTCCCTTGGGCCTCTCTATTCTTCCATTACGACAGTTTCGCTTCTCACCCTCCTCGCTCGAAGTTTTTGCGAAATCAGTGCACTTGGTCCGGTTACGGGACTGTGGTTTTTAGAAGGAAAGAAAAGGGATAGATAGAGTTAAAGCAACCTTCTGCATGAGCCTCGAGGCAAAGTTAGTTGTGCTAGGCACTCAAGGTATGATACCGTACGCCCCTCGCGCCGTAGCGTTGAATGAGAGTGACGATGCTTGACGCGATGTGACGCGATGTGCTGCCATGGGACGGGATACGTGGGGAAAAGCGAACATTCTATCAAGTATCAATAATTAACCCAAGCTAACCGCAACCAAAAAAAAAAATTCAGGCGTTGGCAAGACTTCACTCGTAGTCCGGTATCATACGTCCATCCCATGTCATCCCGCGTCTCCCACTCCTCGCTAACCTAGTTACCATCGCCAGCTATGTAAACAACACCTTTGACCCAGCCTCAGCCTCAACAATCGGCGCTTCATTCCTGGCGAAAAAAGTCATAATAGACGACTCTCTCGTCCGCCTACAAGTCCTCCCCCCCCCGCAACCCCCTCTATCCGCATCCGCAGCTAACCGTCACAGATATGGGACACCGCCGGCCAAGAACGCTACCGCTCAATTTCCAAGCTTTACTATCGCAGCGCGAACTGCGGCATACTTTGCTACGACATAACTTCCCTCGCGTCCTTCGAGGCGATGCACTCCTGGTTGTTGGAGCTGAAGAAGAACGTGAACGGGAACATCATCATACACATCGTCGGCACCAAGGCGGACCTAGTAAATGCCGAGCCGAGTCGGCGGGAGGTACCATTTGAAAGGTGTGTGTCGTATGCTGCTGAGCATCTTAGTGAGGAGGAAGGCTTCGCTATAGGGGGCGGGGGAGGGGGGGGGAGGGGGTGGGGTGGGATGGATTGCTGTCATGAGATTAGTGCTAGGGATGATCAGGGTTTGGCTCTCAACTTGACTTCTGCCTCGGAGGGAGGGACTAATTTGGCAGGGAAATAGGGGTAGATGAAGTCTTCCAGGTGATCGCCCGAAAACTCGTCGAACGGCGGGCGGACATCGAGCGGGAGCGCGCCTTCGGAAGTCAGGATCTGTACACGCGCAGCAGGAACGCCGGCGTAGAGCCCAACGCAGCAGGAGCGGAGAAGAGCAAGGGTGGAATGTGCTGTTAGAAACCTTTCCCTCCTGTTATTGCGATTCTCAACCTCTTGTGTGATACCATGATTTGTTCCCCCCCTTTTTCTGCCGTCCTTTTCTTCTTTCTCCGTTCCACATTTGTTGTTATTGGCACTCAGCGGGTTACCCCCACTCTTCCCTGTTCACCACCTCTTTCACCTTTCCCCTCGTTTAACTCGTCTTGTTTGCGGTTTACGCGGTAGCGATTGCGTTCGGTAATTTCAGTATGACCACTCCTTCCCTCTGTCCCCTGTTTCATCCCAACTTTAATATAGCATTCATGATACATCACTCGCTAGATACAAAGTAATTAATCAATCATTTGGCATCACTCGAGGAAGAGAACGAATGGTATCGGTTCACCAATGGACATTGACGTCCTCTGAGTCTTCCCGCAGGAACACAGGGATGACGAGGGCGGGAAAGAGAGAGAAAGAGAAAGAGAAAGAGAAAGAGAAAGAGAAAGAGAAAACATAAACCGGAATATGGCTTCAGTTTAGGATGCGGCCCACTGGACCCAATTCATGAAAGAACATTGTGATAGCGTACGGGATAAAGAGTAGCCATTGGCGCTAGTTAGTATCACCTGCGCCGGTGAGAACTGGTCGGTTTACCGTAGGTTGTGCCAAGAAGAAGCCGTAAAAGGGAAACACAAAGATGATGATGGGAAAGGGAAAAAATAAAAGTAGAACCAGTAAAGCTTCTAATGATTTGTTCCATTTGTGCCATTTTTCTGCGCGGCGGCTTCTCCAGCGGCAGCGAGTCGATCATGCTCGTCGATGTCACTAGTAAAATATTAGTATAAACCGAATCATGCACGCATAGGAGTGGGCACGGAAAGCCTACATAGCCTCCCAAGGATAACAACACCAAACATCACCGACCGTCTCGGCCGCAAGATACCGCCCCTCCTTGACCATCTCTTCCGGCAACTTTCCTCCCTTAGACTTATCCTTGTTCTACACCACACCCCCCACCCCTATGATTAACCACCCCGCCACGCCACAAACCGGAAGCGGTAAACTTACGTGCAACACAAAAATAAAGAAATTCGTCTTCGGTTGATTCCCGCTCAGCTTCTCCGCCTGTAGCTGCACGTCCTTGCTCAACTCCTGGACCGCGTACTGCAATGTAGTTCTTGTGTCGTCAACCTCGTCGACAATGAGGATATTCTTGCCAATGAGGTCGGTATTGGAGAGAGATGTGAAATCGAGCCATTGAGTGCGGGTAACCTTTGTGCCGATCTCCTCTTCCGGTCCTTCCTCCGAGAGCTTCTCATAGAGGGAGAGACCGATTGCCTGGATGGGAATGTTGGGGCTTCCGGGAGTTTTGAGGAAGGAGCTGGTGGATCACCTGTTAGCAAATACTTGTAGGTTAGGCCGATGGGACCTGGGAAGAAGGCTGGAAAGAGGGGGAATCTAACCGGAGAATTCTGGCTGGCACATATCCACCACCACCGATGCTGGGTTTGGTCAGTTCATGGGGGGATTTTCTCCTGTAAAAAGGGGGGGGGACAGACGCAATCATGAGATTCGGCTTAAACTCATCCAAGATCTTTGGTGCTGCGTTCTGGCAGAGCTTGTGAACCTGAGCGCAGCAGTCCCCATCGTCAATAATCCCACCAATTAAACATGTAGCCTTGCCTGGAAACTTCCTCTAAAGGAGGAGGATGACGAAGAAAGCAAACATACCTGGTTGTAAGTGATATACTTTCTTTCGACCATCTTGAGCGAGAGAATGTCCTCACAAGTGCGATACCGCTGAAGAAAAAGAGGGCTTTGAAAGTGTCGGTACCAGTCGTCGTGGCTGTAGTTGTGGTTGTTAAGTTGCTGTGAACTACTGATGGAAACGTGGACTTGACCCCTCAAAAAAAAAAAAAAAAAAAAGACACCGATGACTCTTGTACTTAGGGGGTGAGCATAATTAGGTGAGGCGAACTGGGGTTTAACTGGAGTTTAACTGGTTTAAAATTTGGTGAGTGTAACCATAGAAGGGCCAATCTTGGCTAATATTGGCGCTTCTCTTTGGAGGGAAAAGGGTCGGGCGAACGCAAAAATTCCGACCCCAGAAACCTCAATGAAATTCTTCTCTCTTATCGGCCAAATGACGTAGGGAGCCAATGAGAACGAGTTCGCCTCAATTATGTATGATATATGATACTCGGTACTTGTAGCCAGACCCTAAGGAGAAATAATTCCCCTGCACAGTTTTCGTTGCCTCACCCCTCGAACTAGCCTTAACAGTCCATTCCGCAGCAGGGTTTAAAGTCAACGGGTAATCGGCGAGTTCCGTCGGCACCCGGAGATGGTCTCCGACTATTTCTTATACTCCGGAGTATATTATTTTTCTTTGCCTTCTTTCTACTCGAATACTGTACCCTACTATTTGACATATCATACCGATGCCGGTACCGGTATCTAGTTCATCCGAGAACAAAATCACCTTGAGGCCTCTTTCTTTCTCCCCTCAGTAACTACATTGTAAGGGCTCCGATCTTTCGGCTTATCAGCAAAAATTTCTTATCTGGCCGTTGAAGCATTACCCCACCTCAACCTGCCGGGGGGAGAAAGGGAGAAGAGAGAGGACGCAACCTCCCTCATCGACCTCCACCTATCCACGTGCAGAAAAACAGCCAGTACTCGAGTATTCCGGGGATTAATAAACCTGCCCAAGAGCGGTAGACTACCGGTGCTCGAGCACATGAGCCTGCATAAATCATCTTAGTAATTCCCAGAAGGGAAAGTCTCGCTTCGGAGGGCTAGGGATGAGAAGTTATCGGTAAGATGTGTGGTCAAATTAAGCTCAAAGTGCCAAGATTGAGGCTCTTCGATGTTGGAGAGGGAAACCGTTGTGGGCTAGATTAATTGCCGGTATGATACGAGTACGCGAGACTGGTCGGGCACGAAAATCACTTTTAACTTAATGGAATGGGGGGGGCTTTCCTCGGTTGGGGTGTTTGGTTCGAGGGGCTGAGTCAAGGGATTCTGTGTCTGATACCTGTGCTCGAGTACCGTACCGTATTCTACAACGGGCACTTGCAGCAAATATGTTGCAAAGCTCGAGTACCGGTGCGCCGAAAGCTCTTGCCGTTAGGATTCTCCGCCAGGTCGCCAATCTCCGGATTTAGAGACAAAAGCGCTTGAGAAGGAATAGTGCTTTCCTGATGCGATTGTATGTGACTTGGGATGGTGTCAGATCTCGTTCATTGATTTTCTCAACTCAGTGATCTTGCCAGCTAAACCTATTATGGGCTGATGTCGTGACTGGCAGGGATAGTGGTGACCTGACTGGGATAGCGAATCGAAAAGGTTTTTACGTTGCGCAACCGGTACGAGTACAGTAGGCAGGCAGTCATCGCCTCCCCGTGTGGAGAGCCCCGCCGCGATACGACAGTGGAAGCTGACTGGGTAGGGGGGGTCCCACGGGGTAGGAATTTTGTTGTTTTTATTTTTCCAGGTTGGGTAGGGGTTTTGTTGTACTGGTATCGGTACTCGAGTATTACCGTACGATACTCGCTGTTTGCTCATCCGTGCTTTTGCAAGACAAAGGTATTGTCCATTTTATTGCATACCCATCGAGCTCAGTCCATTGAGGCCGGGTTAGCAAACAGGGATGATAATAAAACTTATTAAACATCTATCGTAGTCAATGTTTGTCTGGATAGCTGAATCTCAGAGCCCGAACACCAGCACAGCACTGTACTGTATTTTTGCTTAGGCTCGAATTCTTGGTGCGGTTGGTTTGTCTGCCTTGACTCGCATACCACTTGTCCTGTATTACTGCAGTGATGGGCACTACCGTAAATTACTAAGCGAAGAAGCCATGGTCCGCGATGCTCCATGTTCATCTGAATGAACCATCTCCTCTTTATATCCATTGGATGGGTTACATGTATTCTTAATCTTGATGCAACTGTCCACGATAGCAACTGCGAAAGTCTGCGAACGATGATATGTTCGATCGCGCTCCTAATAGCACGATGTGGACACCGGGACACAACTCAGCCTTAGTACTGTAACTTAGGTAACATGATTGCGAGGGTGCCATAACTTATGCGTTTGAGGGTCACGCAAAAGGGTTATTCATGCAACACGACTCGATCGCTGAACGGAATGAATGCAGAGCCGTCTACTTATACATTTTTTTATACCTCCTTAAAAAGGTATCAGCTTGCATCAGGAGCCTAAATAATTCGAGTTCGCACAAGTATGCACGCCTCATTTCCATACCAAGTGGTGACATAATTGGGGCTGATTATCATCAATCTTCCACCCGTTTCTTCTTATGACTCCTGTTTTCCTTTTCCACCGCTCCGGTTGGCCCTGTTCCGGGAACACTGCTGACCTCTCCTGACATTTTCTTGGCGCACCAAACACTCCCATACTCCATGTACTCTGCCCTCGTTACCTGTCTCTTCTTCATCTCCGCCTGGTCTCCTGCGAGTGCCACGCCACCCTGCCACGTATAGGTAACTGGGTTATCCGGTTTGGCAATCCTCACCACAGACTCAGCAGGAGCGAGTGGTCGTAATTCCATCTCCAACCGTTCCAAAAACCCTGCGATGTTTGCGTTGCCGCCTACAACGACAATATTTGCGAGCAATAAGCTTCGATACCTCTCCGGAACACCCTCGAGACTCTGTATTATGGTCTCGGCAATCCCGGCCTGTGCTAACCCTATATCCTGAGGGGCAAAAAGCAGCTCTGGGACCGAGAATCTTTCGTCGCTCAGCTCCATAACTTGTTCGTCATTGCTGCCGAATACTGGTTGCTTCTTGGGGACGTGCGGCCGCCTGTAGCCAGCTTTACCAGAGTTGTAGTCTGGCAGAACGAAATCCACGACAATATCGTTTGCTGCCTTCTTCATACTATGACATTTTTCCAGGTCTTCGTTGAAGTTAGTCGAGATATAGCAAACGGACTCCTTGACTTGGTTTATGAGATATGTTTCTTCCATCATGTTCCATGTACGCGTTGAAACCATCTCTTTTAGGTAATTGGTCAGGAATTTTCCGCCAACGTCTATTCTGCGGACAGCCGTGTTCCATAGTTGACCGCTTATTATTGGTGTAATATGGGTGTGCGAAAAACCGGAGTCAACAACCATGATAGCTTCTGCCGGCGGTGAGAAGGATGACGGGTCCCCGTGAGAGTATAGTGTGTTGGTATCGTTCCAGGGAATTAATGTTGGGCCTATTGGTTATGATGTCAGGAAATACTTGAAACATAATTATCTCAGAATACGAACCTACACAGCGGTAATAGTTGGAAAACTCATACTCCTCGAACACCATCTGATCACAGTTCGTCTGTAACGCTGAAGGAGCATTCGGAGCCTCGGTCAATAGTAGGGTCGTATCTCTCGGATCGCACTAAGATATTGACGCATCAGTCGGGTGTGTGCTGTACCATAGCTCCAACAAAGAGAACCAGTACCTTAAGTTTCGATTCCGAATCAAGAAAAGTTCTATCCCATATCTCCTTTTCGGCCTCCCAATTTACTAGATAACCCTTTGATTATCGTTAGAGCGTAGTATTACGTGAGACAAAGTTTCCCTCTAACCTTTTCAACAGGCCTTCGAAAAACGGCAGACCCAAAATCCCGACAATTCTCGAGCTGCTGGCCAATCAACACTCGCTTGTCTCTTGTTCGTGCTATGCAGTTCGGAATAGTGATGCATGTGTTATCAGTAGTGAACCCAGCCTTAATGGTATAGGAACCGTTATCCACAACAAGGGTGGCGGCGGAAGGCATCTGTAAAGAAGAAGAATGGTGGAAATGGGCGGCTCGGGGCTGTCGGTGAAATCCAAGCAAACAGAAAAAGCTCTTGGCAACATGATCATGTCAGCGAGTGCACGGTCCAGTTATGCCAAGGCTTGGGTGGCCCAAAGAGAAAGAAGGATGACAGGGGTGACACCAATGGAGTTTGTGGGTGACTGGCAGCGTGCTGATCACAGTGTGTCGCCTGCACCCTACAATCATAAAAAGGGACGCACCCCCCTCCCCTGTACTATAATTTATATACCCGCTCTAATGCTCCCCTCTACTCTATCGCTTACTTTTCGAACGCAGTTTAACTCCCTACCCCACCGCGATATCCCACCTTCTATCCGCTGTCCCTCTATTGCCGTCCCTTCACACGCCATTCCTTAGCGCTAACCCCCGGCTATCGTCATGTCAGACCGTGAGTTCGGAGGAGGAGGTACCTCATCCTATCCTATCTGGAGGGCAAAATGTGCTAACGTCTTCTATAGCCGACGACCTCTCGCTCCCGAAAGGTTTTTCTCCCTACATGTCCGCCTGATTTCCCCTATCGTATGAATATGCTGACATTCGGCTAGCTACCGTACAAAAAATAATTTCCGAAATCCTTCCGAACGATCTTGCTTTCGCCAAAGAGACGCGCGATTTACTCATAGACTGCTGCGTTGAGTTCATTACCCTAGTTTCCTCCGAGGCCAATGACATCGCCGAACGCGAAGCTAAGAAGACCATCGCTGCCGAGCATGTTGTCAAAGCGTTGAAGGACCTGGGGTTCGAGGAGTATATCGAGCAGATCCAAGAGGTTGCCCAGGAACACAAGGAACATCAGAGGGTATCTTGCACATCGCCTTTACGACCCTGGCTGAAAAATGCTGACTTAAAAAGTTCCAGTCACGCGAAAAGAAGCAGACCAAGCTGGAGCAATCGGGACTCTCTCAGGAGGAGCTACTGAGACAACAGGAAGAGTTGTTCGGTAATGCTAGAGCGAAATTCAACCAGCAGGGCTCAGTCCCGGAATAGAATAAAACAAATGTGGGGGTTTGGCGGGTTCGATTGCTAGGGAAGCACAAAATAAATTCCAGAATGTTCTTTTGCTTTACGATATCGCGAGAACTACTTGGATCAATATCATGATTGCGGTCACACCCCTCCCCTTTTCTTCTCGGGGTTCACGTAAAAATCGCCTGGCGTATTTTCAGTTTGATTTTGCTGTTTTTTCTTCCCTTTTATTTGGGGTTTGGCTTATTCTACGGCACGGTTGTTAGGTTTGGCACACTTTTAGGGATGGTGGCGGCTTGTACTCATATCTTATGTGTTTATTTTTCCCGTAGACATTGCGAGTTTCTTACTCACAGCAAACTGTCATCAAACCGCTATGGAGACCCAACTGGGAATAGCAGCAGGCCCTGGGGTTATTTATAAAAGGCTGTATTAACCTCCTGGTCAGAAATACCTTATACTGGTACCCGATCCACAGAGCAATACCGGTAGACGTAGCATCATCCTGGCGCACAGTTTCCAGTCTTAGGAAATATCATAGTGCGGAGAAAACACCGCCGCGGCTCTCCCGCCGTTGTGATATCGTACCATCCCGATATCACAAGTCTCGCATTTTCCTGTCTTTGACTCCGCACTTAGGGAGCTCCACCAGCGCTGGACCAAACAACGCGTCCCGCGTCTAACCGCCCAATCCGAATTTTACCCGCTTCCCCAAACCGTAATCCTGAGATGAGATAAAGCTTGGCGGCTAAATCACGTGGCAACCCAACCTCACCTCGACTTAAGATAACCACCGGTACTGACCTCACCACCTCACCACTTCGCAACAGCAATAACCATACCAAGAAAAAACAAAGGACGAAAGATGGAACCGGAAGAAGACCAACCCGAAGACCTCTCATCACTAGGCTTCACCTCCTTCGGCTCCAGAAACAAACGTCCAAAACATTTTCACCACCACCCCAGCAGAAGCAGCAGCAGCAATTCTATCCCGCTCCCACCCCCCCCGCCCGGGGCTGCAGAAGTAACCACCTTCGCGGGTACCGCAGGGGGAGTCAAATCTCTTCCGAAAAAGCCGGAGTTTGCACCTTACGCCGCGCCAGCGTTCACGCCTTACGTTCCACCGAAGTTTCTGAGTGGTGCTGGTGGGAGTAGCGGGGGAAGGGCAAAGGGTGGCGGCGGTGGAGATGGGGTATGTTTTTTTCTTTTTCTTCACTACTTATAGGAGGGATTGGTGGTTTACTTGACTTGGGATGAGGTGAGAGCGTAGTTGTATAGTCCCCAGTTTGTGGAAAATCCTTGGAAAGCTTTGGAAGTGAAGTTTGGGATTCGCGCGGAGTGGGTTGATATGGAGAGAGTTGAGGGTGGGGGAGGTGGTGATGGGGAGGAATGGGAAGAAAAGGTTCAAGGCGAGGGGGGGGAGGGAATGGCGGGTTTGGTGGGGGGGGGTTGAAGCTCGCGTGCAGGAGAAAACCGACGACGGGCTGGGCGAACGTGGCTAGAGTTGACGTGTGCAGGGGTGATATGATTTGACTTATGTCTGGAAGTTATCGCGGCTCAATTTTATGGGTTGTTTCTTTTCTGGAATTAATACCGCAATACGACAATAACTAGATGGATTCACCGTATGTACTCTACTGAGACTACTTAGCCCATAGGGCCACGGAATTTCGCTAGGGGAAAGGTTAAGCGTTAGGTATCATAAAATAGAAGCTATGATAGAACTAATTTTCCCCAATCATCGCTGTTCCGGGATTGCCTCGCCTACTGCACGTCCAAGTCCGGTGACGGTGTATGATAAGCATGCAACTGCCGTGCCGTCAAGTTGGTGCTACTGCAGCTCGCCGCCAAACACGTGAGCAGGATGTACTTCCGGGGCTGGGTATCCGTTAGACCACTTTGGATACCAATTGAGTCCCTCAATTACCTAAAATCCCTCCAACTTGAAAATGCTCGGCATAACCCTCACGGAGCTTATGTATGATAAGTCTCCGGGGTGGGTTATTCTATCAATAGTGCTACCTGGGATGAGACAGGACACCTAGTATTTGGCAATAGTCTATTCCGAGATGACGGCCCGGGTGGAAATATGAAAAATAAAAGAATGAAAAAAGGTCTTCCCAGAACAGGCGCCACTGTGTGTGACGAAGAGAAGGGTCGGATTCTGGAAATCGTGTTACGGGGTCGGGTGCGGGGGGCGGGCTCCCGGGAGAATGCCTTTTCTTCTTAGGCTACAGACAAACGCTCGGATATAGAAGGAAAATTTACTGCCCGGAACAGAACCTCACAAACTACATGTACAGAGACTCGGGCGACAACGGAAAAGCACAATCCCCGGTCAGTGGCTTTGGGGGATCGGGGGCGCGGGTGATCAGGTATGACCTCAACTCACGCTAACGCTAGACCAAGTTGCAACCAGCCTTGGAAGGTGTTCGGAGCCAAGAACTCAAGAACCGAGTCCTACTTCAGACTAGACATGCCTACCGGTTCGTGTCAGTTTGTATTTGTGGCGTATAGGTAGAGTCGGCGTCGGCGGGAGGGAGAACGGCGCTGCTTGGAATGTTGGATGAATCCTGAGTCGACCAGAGAGCCAGAGAGGTAAAAGCCATCTTCCGGAGTGAGTTATAGGTCGCATTGGGGAGTTTGCGGAAGCGGGATCGAGTGCCGGTGTCCTCAGATGGCGCTGGGCAAAACGAACGAACTGGGGAGGCCCGAGTCACACGATCCCGCCGAGCTGGTTCGCGCCTTTTAAGCCTATTCTGAGACGGGGATCCGGTGGGAGCGAAAATATGACGGATTCCTGGAATTGGTGATTGTGTGTGATAACGCGGAGGGTTAAAATCGGCAGGTGGTTTATGCGGGGGTCATCCATGTGGGCTGTTTTTGCATGTGTTTTTTTGAGCATGACGAAATTATATGTGGTATCATAATCAGATCAGTAGCCATAGCTGGGCAGCAGATAGCCTCGCTGTGGGGGGAGTGTAGCAAAGCTTTCAACTACAGTGCACATCTGGGTCGTTTCGGAAAATAGTATGTTCGTGAGGGAAGAGTGCGGAGCGAAGCACCTGGCCGTTCTAGGTTAGTGCTTCTCGTAGGTGTATTTCTCAAAGGTTGTAGAAGTAGCAAAGCGATGAAGAAATGGGTGTGAGTTGCCTATATAAAGCTCTGACTAGGGTGGAAGGAAGGGCTGTGGGCATGGCAGATAATCCCCGGATATATGACTCGAGTTCCATCCACTATTCTGGGGCTGCGCGAGCCCTCGCGAGCCTAGGGACATGATTCAACTAGTGCCAAGCACTATCTCCAACCGCCCAGAAATTTCCTTGGATTTGGAGGATAGTGGTTCCGGTAGCCCGGGAGGTGCCCTTCTGGATACTAGATACTGGGACTAGTCCTTTCGAGGAGATAGTATGATAAACTCGGGATCTGTCTTTGGAGCCCCTCAACCTCTAGCCAGAGCTAGCTCTAAATAGAGATGACTGTTGACGATAGGGCCCGACAGTCACCTCCAGGCATGATGTATCTCTGGGAAGAGACCTAGGGCCTCCCACCATTAGCATATTGAGTTATCTTGGGTTCCAATAATGGCTGGAGAATCCAGAGCTGGTGGTTGTCTGATGGAAAAGTCAGAGTTGGGCGCCAAGAGGGTCCTATTTTTTTCTTGTTGCACAAGCCATGATGGCCTTATGCCGTATCCCCTATATATTCTCAATATGCCTCCGGGACAATGGACCTCTGGTTGACCGAGTGGCTTCTAATGACTTTGTATACCATAGGGGCTTGTGTTGGGGAACTGCCAAGTGTACTTGTTCTTGTCAGTCTGGATGCCGTGGGCGAAGGAACTTGCAAGTTCAAGTAGTCCGCCCGGGGCATCCTTTTAGAGCATAAGTTACCGCCCGCCTCCGCCCCCTCACAAAGCTAGATAGGTGGACTATCGTGCTGACTGAGAGGCGCGACTAGGAAGAGCTAGTGAGAGTGCCGTGGCTAAGGATGTCCTCTAATAGCTAGTGATATATGGGACCTTGAAGAGTGGTGTGCGACACAATAAGCTTGGAAAATTTACCAGAATTGCCACGGGTTTGATTGACACAGGTTTGATTAGGGTTGGCGGTTTTTAAGAAGTTACTTCTCAGTAGTCTGTCTACCGGATAATCGTAAGCAAGGAGACTGACCAATCTCTTTGCCCAAAGAGAACAAAGTTACAACATCCTAGTCTGCATTTTCTCTAGCTCTCACAGAGTATCTGTAGTGAAATGTGGAATGCACTCAACCTGTAAGCGCTTACCAGGTGAGGTCTTGAATGGGAAAGGTCAGTTTCATCAAGGCTAACTAGCTCCAAATGCACTTCTTTTGACATACACAAGTTGTGGGGATCGGGGAACAAACTTTGCAATCGGCCGACCCGGTTAACAAATTGGCTACCTTGTAAACAATTGCGCCCACCCAGCCAAGGCTATGCTTGGCAATGTTGCTTAGGTGTGTGCCTGTTTGATTCTAGCGTTTATTCGGCTTCAAGTGCTGTTGAAAATGGAGATAATGGTCATGTCAAAAATGGAGGTAATGATTGCAATGGAGGTTTTTTTCAATGTGCGCCGAAAGTGCTTGAGAAAAAGAGAATAAAGGATGTCTTTGGCACAAGCTTTATTGTCTGCACAAATGATCTTTGGAATGAACAAGGACACAAGCATGCTGTCATAATCTTCGTTTTAAGGGCTATGATTGGTTAATCCCGAAGCATCGGTACAAATCAGTGTTTGTAATGATGGCAAATTATGCGCCCAATCCCCCAAAAGTAATTAGATTGAGAGCTGGGATGTCCGCTCTATCGGTCTGACGAAAGTTAAAAAAAAGGAAGGAAAACAGGAGAGAAAGAAAGGCGATAGGAAAGGAAATATGTATGAAGAAAAATTCTCCAACGCTAGCGTATTTTCCCTCCGACGCGTATGTGCCCTCATAAGGATGTTTCCAGCAAGTTCTGTTGTAGTGTGGTGGTGGTTGTCAAGGACTTCCTGATAACCTCAAACGAGGAGTGGTTTAGACACCTGCAAGGAGAGGTATCGAGGAGCAGTTTGGACCTATGTGAGGAGATAAGGGGAAAGGTTAGAGAGTGTTTTGGAGTGTTACAGATTGGAAGGGATAGTGCTCCCAGATGTGGTGGATATTTGCGAGGTTGACTTATGTGTAGTATATAGTTATCATCCACTTTCATATTAGGTGGAGGATGAGAAGAAGTCAAGTCAATTATTATTCACTCTCATTCTGTTATACTCAAAACTCTTCGTGGAAACTCCTACTATTTATTCTCTATTTACTTCAAGTTCCAACTTATGGTA